GATGGGTTAGGGAGGCTATTTCACACTGTGAGCGAGTCTTAACACCTGTGAGTGTCAACCTTCTCAACTTGGATTGCAAGTTTCAGGCTAGACAAGGAAGTAGGAATCTGTTCTGCGCACTAGCAAATGTAGGGCAATTGATGCAAGGCAGCCTGCTCTTTGAGTTGAGGTTTCCTATTAAAGATGCCTGAATGGTTTGCATGCTTCTCCTATTGCGTTAATCCGTTTTGTATGCATCCTAATGCAATTTCAAAGATCTCACGAGTTGTAGTGTGTATGGTGGCGTGCACCCATTTAGAAATAAGGACGTGGGCTGTCCTTAATCACTTTACTGGTTCTTGAGACTCTGGAGTTTTTAGGTCCAAGGCCTATCGTCACTGAACTACTTACGGTCTGTAATCGTATATCTGCCTCCTGGGCTCTCATTTTGCAGGAGTGGCTCTTTTAACTTCAGTAAAGTAGGCCTACCACAACGTATTGAATTAGTTATGCATATGTGGCACTTGAGGAAGACTGCCTTGAAGTTTACACGCAATTCAAAACACACTCACAGCAGCCATTTTAATTTTATTTTGAAAATAAGTGCAATATTGCCATATAGCCTACACGTAACTAGCCTACATTCTGTGAAATGGCCAGTTTCAACGAGTTTAGGACTGTAGCTGGTAGTGTGTCCTGTCTGCACTGTTTCCTCGTGGCCATAACTTAACTTTCTTATCAATCTGCGTCTATAAAGAGCCCCCTGTACTATAACTCTGACATGCTGACTCCACATATTAACTGTGTTGATATTCCCATGTTATTGCCTTTTCGAAGGAGCCAAAGCTCAACTCGGTGTTGGCCAATGAGCTGAGTGGACTGTGTGCACACCCCTCTGTCTCGACTCAAGGCCACTGCAAGGGGGTGAACTGGAGTTAGACGAGCACAAGCTGCGTACTGCATAGCCACATGTGCAGTCAGTATAAGTGACTGTAGCATTTTGATGATCATGGTATTCATTGCATTTGGAATGGGCTGGATTTTAAAATCTGTGCTTGTTTTAGAATCCTTGACTTGCATGTTGGCTTTAATTGGCTAATAGCCTACCTGTCTTTTCAAAGCTTTCCATTGTAGTATGAACTTACAAGTGAATGTTACAGATGTTAGCCTAATTAGCATTTATTTATTTACATTTACTTGAGGAAAGACTGTGCCTCAGTGAGACAGGAGTGTCAGAATTCCGATCTAGTTACGGACATTCTTGTCAGTCTTTTTCCTCCATTTCCCGGTGAGCCCTAACCGTAAGTTCTGTGTTAGGCTTCAGTGACTGGAAAAACACCCCGACCCCTGCCTGTACCCTATCAGTATTCGTTTTGTTTCTGTATATTTGAGAGCCATAATGGGTGATGATACATAGTCGTCTCCCGGTTTCTAAAGACCATTCTAATGTAATACAGTGCCCTGAAACCACCAGATTGTTTGATCGTGATGGCCTTTATTTCTCTCTTTTTTTCAGATCAGTTTCTGAAGAGACAATGTGATTTGTAGAGAGCTGTATTTATATTTACCCAGAAAAAAAGCTGTTTTAAAAAGGCATTGGCAATAATTCTGTTAAGTGTTGCTGCCAATCGCCCAGCACCTGATTTAAAACATTTTCAATAATACAGCAGGCATAACCTAGATGCATATAATTAAAGATGGCCTCTCTAAAACTCATCAATGACAAACCATCATTAACACTCACTGTTGACACTTGCGTTTGAAAAACAAGAGTTTTCACAGATGCCTAAAAAATCCAAAGTAGCGGGAAGGATCCGGTTTGTTTAGCAGAGGCCTACATGTCTATTGGATGTAGAGAACGTAACAGATTTGTTCCTTGAACTGCCCTCACAACTGTCGGTAGCCCTCACAACTGTCGGTAGCCCTCACAACTGTCGGTAGCCTGTAACAAGGGGTTAACGTTATCGTCGTTGTGATGTTTCGGAGGCTCCAAGAAATTGCGCCTCTAGACTGAAGCTGAGCCCTGCCGATTGTCGTGTGACATGGCCTGTGTGTGTGAGAGAGACGCCCGCCTCGTCACACGGGCCGTGTCCAGCCAGACGTCAACCCTCTTCACCCTGGCCAGTTTTCTCCTCTTTTCTCCCTCGCTCTGTCCGCCTTGTCATCCCAGCTGAATCAGAGGGCAATTTGGAAAGGCAGTTCTCCTATTAGTCAGTGACAGGAAGAGAGGGAGGAGTGTCTGTCAGCCTGACTGATACTGCTGCCCTGTTGACACCCCTCTCTTGCCCTCGTCTCCTCCTCGCTCGCTCTTTTCTCTGTCACCCGTGTTACCAGGCTGATTGTGGTTTCACACCAGGCCTGATGGACAGCAGTCATCTGGAAAATGGACTCCTCTTCAACTACCAGAGGAAGATGACACAAATAATGAGTTAAAATGGAATGATAGTGGGATTTTTTTTGCGGCCTAATAGGATAGTAGCAGGCCGGGCCTAGAGGCCGGCCAGACAGGAAATGACAACCCAATGCATCATCAACATCATGAAACAGAGCAGTGTGTGAGTGATGCCTCAGTCCTTCCCTACTAGAAGACAGTAGACAACATGCTGATCTGATGTACCCCCCTCATCACTACTAGTTTCTCATCCAGTTCACCTTCGTCTAAATATAGTGCTGCCAACAACAGTGACAGATCTGGTCCTTAGCATCTATTCATCCTCTCACGACTCCTCTAGGATCAATTAATCATGCAGTTTTTTTAATTAATCCAGTGTAATGATGGGTGGATGCAGCAGGCAGAGCAGGCCTCAGGGAGGAGGAGTTTGATCTGATTGTTTAGAGGAGAGGAGACTGCTACCCAGGCCAGACAGAGAGCAGGTGGGGGCCAGAGGAGGCTGCTGCCCAGGCCAGACAGAGAGCGGGTGGGGGCCAGAGGAGGCTGCTGCCCAGGCCAGACAGAGAGCGGGTGGGGGCCAGAGGAGGCTGCTGCCCAGGCCAGACAGAGAGCAGGTGGGGGCCAGAGGAGACTGCTGCCCAGGCCAGACAGAGAGCAGGTGGGGGCCAGAGGAGACTGCTGCCCAGGCCAGACAGAGAGCGGGTGGGGGTCGGAGGAGACTGCTGCCCAGGCCAGACAGAGAGCGGGTGGGGGCCAGAGGAGGCTGCTGCCCAGGCCAGACAGAGAGCGGGTGGGGGCCAGAGGAGGCTGCTGCCCAGGCCAGACAGAGAGCGGGTGGGGGCCAGAGGAGGCTGCTGCCCAGGCCAGACAGAGAGCGGGTGGGGGCCAGAGGAGGCTGCTGCCCAGGCCAGACAGAGAGCAGGTGGGGGCCAGAGGAGGCTGCTGCCCAGGCCAGACAGAGAGCGGGTGGGGGCCAGAGGAGGCTGCTGCCCAGGCCAGACAGAGAGCGGGTGGGGGCCAGAGGAGGCTGCTGCCCAGGCCAGACAGAGAGCGGGTGGGGGCCAGAGGAGGCTGCTGCCCAGGCCAGACAGAGAGCGGGTGGGGGCCAGAGGAGGCTGCTGCCCAGGCCAGACAGAGAGCAGGTGGGGGCCAGAGGAGGCTGCTGCCCAGGCCAGACAGAGAGCAGGTGGGGGCCAGAGGAGACTGCTGCCCAGGCCAGACAGAGAGCAGGTGGGGGCCAGAGGAGACTGCTGCCCAGGCCAGACAGAGAGCGGGTGGGGGTCGGAGGAGACTGCTGCCCAGGCCAGACAGAGAGCGGGTGGGGGCCAGAGGAGGCTGCTGCCCAGGCCAGACAGAGAGCGGGTGGGGGCCAGAGGAGGCTGCTGCCCAGGCCAGACAGAGAGCGGGTGGGGGCCAGAGGAGGCTGCTGCCCAGGCCAGACAGAGCGTGGGTGGGGGCCAGAGGAGGCTGCTGCCCAGGCCAGACAGAGAGCAGGTGGGGGCCAGAGGAGGCTGCTGCCCAGGCCAGACAGAGAGCGGGTGGGGGCCAGAGGAGGCTGCTGCCCAGGCCAGACAGAGAGCGGGTGGGGGCCAGAGGAGGCTGCTGCCCAGGCCAGACAGAGAGTGGGTGGGGGCCAGAGGAGGCTGCTGCCCAGGCCAGACAGAGAGCGGGTGGGGGCCAGAGGAGGCTGCTGCCCAGGCCAGACAGAGAGAGCTTGATGATGGAGTGAGCATGTAAGGGACTAATAAAAAGGAGGCAGTGCCACTCTGTTTGGCATCTCACAGTGACACCAGCGCAGAGAGGAGGGGACGCCCTCAGCACAGACAGATGGACACCCCTGTCTGCTCTCTCTGAAGTAAGCACGGTTGTGTGGGTGTATGTGCCAGGGTGTGCGCAGACAGCAAAGGACGGATCCCGTCAGAGCTTAATGACCCGTGTGATTTCTGTGTGGAACGTGTCCTCTGAGGGAGCAGGCAGGTGGACCTGAGCTGTCTCCCCAGGACTCCTCTCTCCCTCCTCACCATCCTCTCCCTGGCCCCCAGGCCGCCTCACACACAGCCTGAGTGGCCCGCAGGCTGACAGAAGGCCAGGAGAGCCCATTAATGTGCCAACCTGCCGAGGACAGGATGGGGCCCTAGATATCCTTCCTCATCAGCACCACAGGAGCTAGCTCCGGGGGGAAACAACTGCAGGCTTGCCAGGAAGCTTCTGGAAGGTTTAGGACATGTTTCTTAGAGGAAGCAACTGACCAAGGTGAACGCTCAGTGATAAAGATGTAATGTTGTAGGCTAACAGCTGTGTAAATAACCTGTCATTTAGGATGAACCTGTTCATATCCTCTGGAGATAGTCGTCTGACAATTAGCCTGTAGGATTTATGTCTTTGCAGTATGCTGAATAATTTGTAACCTATTTTTCAAGGCATGAAGTCTGCTCGTTACAAATCTTTTTTTTCAGAAGTGCAGTGTTTTAGTGTGACTAAGTGACTCGAGATGGACACACACACACACACACACCAGACAGTATATAACCCTTACACTCATCTGGATGCCCATAAGTGGTCACCATCATTGTGTTAATTGGTTTTTAATAACACTATTAAAGTGAAGTTGTGCAGTACACCTGAATCGATGAGACCATGTCTAGGTAGGGTCTGGGTAAGTAATATCATCATTATTAGGCTAGTCCTGCTGTTTTAATAAAAAGTGATGAGCTATTTAATTAGCATGCACCCGCCTCTGTAACACAGCACTTTTGTAGTTACTCGAACTGAGGCCCTAGCTCTGTCCCAGATCTATTGTGCTTTTAGCCAGTTCTTCTCTTCCCACTATTGTTGTCATGCCATACTACGGTCAGATAGTTTGGCTAAAGTAGAACATCTTGGAAAATCTGACAAGCAGAACCAACAAAATCTTAGTGCGTCAATGCGATCCCTATTTTAACACCCGTGCAGAGAGGGCGAGAGAGTAAAGGGAGAGCTGACTAAACTGCCCAGAATAGGAGCTAGCCTTTATTTAACCAGGAAGTTCCGTTGAGGTCAGAAGACCTCATTTCCAAGGGGGCTAATAGAAACTCTGTATGCACCCACACGATCCAGCAGCTAACAGAATGGAAGAGGACTGTATGGCGAACTAGGCATGGCGGAGAACTAGGCATGGCGCTAGCTGAGATTAGATAAGAGGAAGTGCTGAATAGTGGCCCTGCTGTTCTGCTCTGTGCTGGGTCTGTAAAGCAGTTCGTTAGCTAGCTCCCTTCCCTCAGTACGGCTGATGGAGGCATAATTGAACAACCACGCTGATTGTTATCACACAAACACCCAGCTAACTCTAAATTATATTACAGTTTCCAATTGGAGTGCATAAGAGGGAGATATCTATTAAAAAATGTATATTTTATGTCTGTCTTCTCCATGTGTTTTGAAGTTAACATGGTTTAGATGTATTAATCGTTCAAAAAGAGACGTTGAGAACACACTAGGCCTATGCATTTCAAATTGCACAGTGGCCTATGTTCTGAAACCATTCTGATTGATATAGTATGTGTCTCTGACACTTGTCTTTCTGTAGCTCCAACACTACTGAATAAGGCAGATCAATTTACAGTCTGTTAACAGCTAAGACACACCGTTAGTAAACAGCCAAGAGCTAGCGATGTGTGAGAACCGCTGACTAGGCCGCTAGAGTTGCACTCTTTTGGGAAATTAGGGCCGTGAGAAACATGGCTGAAAATATTGAGATAAATTCCCGTAATTTTACAACCCTAACACCGTTCATTATTACATTTTACATTTTAGTCATTTAGCAGACGCTCTTATCCAGAGCGACTTACAGTTAGTGAGTGCATACATCATTTTTTTTTTATACTGGCCCCCCATGGGAATCGAACCCACAACCCTGGCGTTGCAAACGCCATGCTCTACCAACTGAGCTACATCCCTGCCAACCATTCCCTCCCTTACCCTGGACGACGCTGGGCCAATTGTGCGCCGCCCCATGCGTCTCCCGGTCGCGGTTGGCTACGACAGAGCCTGGATTCGAACCAGGATCTCTAGTGGCACAGCTAGCACATCCTGTTGTTTTTATAATGACCTTGGTTAATACGTAACGAAACGCCAATAGGATACTACCATTCAGTGGCGGTAGGGCTTTAGGGGTGTTGCCCACTTGTGATTGGTAAAAAAAAAAACGAATACAAATATTTGTATGAAATATATTATATAATTTATGGAATAAGTTTTAAATGCTCATAAAAGTGATAAATGTTTAAATTTTCCTGTTTCAGAAATGTATTGTCCAAAACAAGCTGTTCAGTTACCTACTATGCTGCCCCTCAGTGACTGCTATGAGGGGGAACTGCCCCCAATGAAATCTCACAATTTATCCCAATGAAATCTCACAATTTATCCCAATGAAATCTCACAATTTATCCCAATGAAATCTCACGATTTCATAGCATAAATTATAACGGCACAAAGTAAATGGACTGTCCTGGGGGTGCTCAAATGTGTGCTTAGTCAGAATTTCGGGGTCTAACTTGTAAGTAAATAACAGTCATGTGAGCCTGGGACCTGAAAAAACTGGACAGCTACATCCAATGAGTCGAAGGACCGAGGGATACAGTGGCTTTAACCTACTCATCGCGGATCTGGTAGGACAAAAAAGCCTGACTGTGGCTGGCCAATTGGATTGTTTTCCCCAGTGTCCCATCATGCTCTACTTTAGGTGACCGGTTGTGTACTCTAAAACAGCATACAACCTGGTGTATCACAAAGCAGGATCAAATTAAATAGCCAGCTACAGTCATTTTGAGAAACATTTAGAAATAGTTTTAGAATTTCAATTAACCAGTTAGTGCTTTCAGAAAGTATTCACGCCTTGATTTCTTTCCATATTTTGTTGTTACAGCCTGAATTTCAAACGGATTGAATAACATTCTCCCTCATCTACACACAATGCCCCATAATGACAACGAAAACCTGTTTTTTGAAAATGTTGCTAATTTAATTGAAAATGAAATACATTTTAGTCATTTGGCAGATGCTCTTATCCAGAGCGACTTACAGTTAGTGAGTGCATACATTTTTAATACTGGCCCCCCGTGGGAAACGAACCCACAACCCTGGCGTTGCAAGCGCCATGCTCTACCAACTGAGCTACAGGGGACTACAGAAATATCTCATTTAAATAAGTATTCACACCCCTGAGTCAATACTTTGTAGAAGCACCTTAAGCAGCGATACAGCTGTCTGTCTTTCTGGGTAAGCTTTCAACACCTGAATTGTGAAACACTTGCCCATTTTTATTATTTTCAAAATTCAAATCAAATTTTATTTGTCACATGCGCCGAATACAACCGGTGTAGACCTTACCGTGAAATGCTTACTTACAAGCATTTAAGCAACAAGGCAGTTTTAAGAAAATGGAGTTAAGAAAATATTTACTAAATAAACTAAAGTAAAAAAATAAATAAAAAAAGTAACACAATAAAATAACAATAATGAGGCTATATACAGGGGGTACCGGTACAGAGTCAATGTGCGGGGTACAGGTTAGTCGAGGTAATTTGTACATGTACAGTTGAAGTCGGAAGTTTACATACACAACCAGAAGTCAACCACTCCACAAATTTCTTGTTAACAAACTATTGTTTTGGCAAGTCGGTTAGGACATCTACTTTGTGCATGACACAAGTAATCTTTCCAACAATTGTTTACAGACAGATTATTTCACTTATAATTCACTGAATCACAATTCCAGTGGGTCAGAAGTTGACTGTGCCTTTAAACAGCTTGGAAAATTCCAGAAAATGATATCATGGCTTTAGATGCTTCTGATAGCCTAATTGACATCATTTTAGTCAATTGGAGGTGTACCTGTGGCTGTATTTCAAGGCCTAACTTCAAACTCAGTGCCTCTTTGCTTGACATCATGGGAAAATCTAAAGAAATCAGCCAAGACCTCAGAAAACAATTGTAGACCTCCACAAGTCTGGTTCATCCTTGGGAGGAAGGTACCACGTTCATCTGTACAAACAATAGTACACAAGTATAAACACCATGGGACCACGCAGCCGTCATACCGCTCAGGAAGGAGATGCGTTCTGTCTCCTAGAGATGAACGTACTTTGGTGCGAAAAGTGCAAATCAATCCCAGAACAACAGAAAAGGACCTTGTGAAGATGCTGGAGAAAACCGGTACAAAATATCTATATCCACAGTAAAACAAGTCCTATATCGACATAACCTGAAAGGCCGCTCAGCAAGGAAGAAGCCACTGCTCCAAAACCGCCATAAAAAAGCCAGACTACGGTTTGCAACTGCACATGAAATTCACTTTCATCAGACCAGAGAAATGTCCTCTGGTCTGATGAAACAAAAATAGAACTGTTTGGCCATAATGAACATTGTTATGTTTGGAGGCAAAAGGGGGGGCCTTGCAAGCCGAAGAACACCATCCCAACCGTGAAGCATGGGGGTGGCAGCATCATGCTGTGGGGGTGCTTTGCTGCAGAAGGGATTGGTGCACTTCACAAAATAGATGGTATCATGAGGAAGGAAATTATGTGGATATATTGAAGCAACATCTCAAGACATCAGTAAGGAAGTTAAAGCTTGGTTGTAAATGGGTCTTCCAAATGGACAATGACCCCAAGCATACTTCCAAAGTTGTGGCAAAATGGCTTAAGGACAACAAAGTCAAGGTATTGGAGTGGCCATCAATAAGCCCTGACCTCAATCCTATAGAACATTTGTGGGCAGAACTGGAAAAGCGTGTACGAGCAAGGAGGCCTACAAACCTGACTCAGTTACACCAGCTCTGTCAGGAGGAATGGGCTAAAATTCACCCAACTTATTGTGGGAAGCTTGTGGAAGGCTACCTGAAACATTTGACCCAAGTTAAACAATTTAAAGGCAATGCTACCAAATACTAATTGAGTGTATGTAAACTTCTGACCCACTGGGAATGTAATGAAAGATATAAAAGCTGAAATAAATCATTCTCTCTACTATTATTCTGACATTTCACATTCTCCAACTCCAGTGTAGATTTGGCCTTGTGTTTTAGGTTATTGTCCTGCTGAAAGGTGAATTCATCTCACAGTGTCTGGTGGAAAGCAGACTGAAACAGGATTTCCACTAGGATTTTGCCTGTGCTTAGCTCCATTCTTTTTTTTTATCCTGAAAAACTCCCCAATCCTTAACGATTAACATGACGCAGCCACCACTATGCTTGAAGATATGTAGAGTGATACTCAGTAATGTGTTGTATTGTATTTGCCCCAAACATAGCACTTTATTCAGGACAAAAAGTTAATTTCTTTGTTTGTAGTATTACTTTAGTGCCTTGTTGCAAACAGGATTCATGTTTTGGAATATTTTTATTCTGTACAGGCTTCTTTCTTTTCTCTCTGTCAATTAGGTTAGTATTGTGGAGTAACTACAATGTTGTTGATCCATCCTCAGTTTTCTCCTATCACAGCCATTAAACTATGTAACTGTTTTAAAGTCACCATTGGCCTTATGGTGAAATCCCTGAGTGGTTTCCTTCCTCTCCAGCAACTGAGTTAGGAAGGACGCCTGTATCTTTGTAGTGACTGGGTGTAATAATACACCATCCAAAGTGTAATTAATAACTTCACCATGCTCAAAGGGATATTCACTGTCTGCTTTTTTTATTTTTTACCCATCTACCAATAGGTGCCCTTCTTTGTGAGGCATTGGAAAACCTCCCTGGTCTTTATGGTTGAATCTGTTTTTGAAATTCACTGCTTGACTGAGGGATGATACAGATAATTGTATGTGTGGGGTACAGAGACGAGGTAGTCATTCAAAAATCATGTTAAACACTATTGCACACAGCGAGTCCACGCAACTTATTATGTGACTTGTTAAGCTAATGTTTACTCCTGAACTTATTTAGGCTTGCCATAACAAATGGGTTGAATACATATTGACTCAAGACATTTCAGATTTTAATTTATAATGAATTTGTAAAAAAATAAAAATAAATGTAAAACACAATTCTACTTTCACGTTATGGTGCATTGTGTGTAGACCAGTAACAAAATTCAGGCGGTAACACAACAAAATGTGGAAAAAGTAAAGGGATGTGAATACTATCTACCTTTGGTAAGCAGCTAGCTGGTTGATAGCTATAGCTAGCTAGTTAGCTCCCTGGTAGCTTGCTCCCATGCCAATTTCAAGACCAGCTAAACTAATATCTGACTAACTCGGAAATATGAAGTTATTTCAGAATAAAAGTTTAACTGGCTAGTGCATCATGCTTTGTGACATTGTTAGCTATCCCTAGTTGGATAATGTATTTTCACTTATTGCATCTGTGTGCGTGTTGTGTTTTTCCTGGTGCATTCATTCGTAAACCGGCTGCTCGTTCTAAATAGTATAATCTAATCTGTTCAGAACAGTGGCAGCTGTGGTCATTCGGTTTTTGACATGCACAAGTAAAATGGGTGTATTTATGCTGTTGTTCAAATGCACAGATCGCTTTATATATCTTCTCCAAAAAACTACCGGTAGTTCGAAAACTTGGCATCATATTTTAATGTCATGCTGCTTTGTTGACAACTCCAACCACCACCACCCCTCCCCGCGTCCCAGGTATTCAGCAAATAAGCTGCTGCCACTGCTACTATTGTCTTAACCAATGGGATTTGTAGATCAGAGGTGTGTTCTTGTGAAATTGCAGTTTTAGCATGCTAACGCCGCCTCTGTTTCTAAAACCTTTTGTGCCCGCTGCATCAAGTGAACACAACCCAGTTATTTTTGTCATGGATCCATAAATTACCTCTTCCCTTCTCTGTTCCTCTCTATCTGTGTTCTCCCTACCAGCCGTTGTGCCAGCGTGCCCCGGTGGCCCTGAGCAGCGTGGGGGCGAGGAGGGGTCAGCATGCGGCTACCCGTAGTGTGGAGCAGGAGGCCCCATGGACAGGGCAGGACAGTCTGGCCCAGGACGACCCAGAGATGTGGGACCTGCTGCGGAAAGAGAAGGACAGGCAGTGTCGGGGACTGGAGCTCATCGCCTCTGAGGTGCAGTAAGATGTGTGTGTGGCTGGCTGTCTGGTGCGCTGCTTGTCTTTCTGTCTGTCTGTGTTTGGCTGGCTAGCTAGCTGTCTTTCTGGCTTGCTGGTTGGCTGCCTGTCATAAGAGAAGGCCTCATGGCCTCTGAGGTAAGCTTTATGTAAGTCCGTCTAGTATGGGCAGTTGAGAAAGAGCTACTTCGGTAGGCCCAGAGTCATACTAGGGATGTGCATCTCTCCTTTCATGGAAGGTTCGATACACATCTAGATACAGTGGGGGAAAAAAGTATTTAGTCAGCCACCAATTGTGCAAGTTCTCCCACTTAAAAAGATGAGAGGCCTGTAATTTTCATCATAGGTACACGTCAACTATGACAGACAAATTGAGGAAAAAAATTCCAGAAAATCACATTGTAGGATTTTTAATGAATTTATTTGCAAATGATGGTGGAAAATAAGTATTTGGTCACCTACAAACAAGCAAGATTTCTGGCTCTCACAGACCTGTAACTTCTTCTTTAAGAAGCTCCTCTGTCCTCCACTCGTTACCTGTATTAATGGCACCTGTTTGAACTTGTTATCAGTATAAAAGACACCTGTCCACAACCTCAAACAGTCACACTCCAAACTCTACTATGGCCAAGACCAAAGAGCTGTCAAAGGACAGCAGAAACAAAATTGTAGACCTGCACCAGGCTGGGAAGACTGAATCTGCAATAGGTAAGCAGCTTGGTTTGAAGAAATCAACTGTGGGAGCAATTATTAGGAAATTGAAGACATACAAGACCACTGATAATCTCCCTCGATCTGGGGCTCCACGCAAGATCTCACCCTGTGGGGTCAAAATGATCACAAGAACGGTGAGCAAAAATCCCAGAACCACACGGGGGGACCTAGTGAATGACCTGTAGAGAGCTGGGACCAAAGTAACAAAGCCTACCATCAGTAACACACTACGCCGCCAGGGACTCAAATCCTGCAGTGCCAGACGTGTCCCCCTGCTTAAGCCAGTACATGTCCAGGCCCGTCTGAAGTTTGCTAGAGTGCATTTGGATGATCCAGAAGAGGATTGGGAGAATGTCATATGGTCAGATGAAACCAAAATAGAACTTTTTGGTAAAAACTCAACTCGTCGTGTTTGGAGGACAAAGAATGCTGAGTTCCATCCAAAGAACACCATACCTACTGTGAAGCATGGGGGTGGAAACATCATGCTTTGGGGCTGTTTTTCTGCAAAGGGACCAGGACAACTGATCCGTGTAAAGGAAAGAATGAATGGGGCCATGTATCGTGAGATTTTGAGTGAAAACCTCCTTCCATCAGCAAGGGCATTGAAGATGAAACGTGGCTGGGTCTTTCAGCATGACAATGATCCCAAACACACCGCCCGGGCAACGAAGGAGTGGCTTCGTAAGAAGCATTTCAAGGTTCTGGAATGGCCTAGCCAGTCTCCAGATCTCAACCCCATAGAAAATCTTTGGAGGGATTGAAAGTCTGTGTTGCCCAGCGACAGCCCCAAAACATCACTGCTCTAGAGGAGATCTGCATGGAGGAATGGGCCAAAATACCAGCAACAGTGTGTGAAAACCTTGTGAAGACTTACAGAAAACGTTTGACCTGTGTCATTGCCAACAAAGGGTATATAACAAAGTATTGAGAAACTTTTGTTATTGACCAAATACTTATTTTTCCACCATAATTTGCAAATAAATTCATTAAAAATCCTACAATGTGATTTTCTGGATTTTTTTTCTTCTCATTTTGTCTGTCATAGTTGACGTGTACCTATGATGAAAATTACAGGCCTCTCTCATCTTTTTAAGTGGGAGAACTTGCACAATTGGTGGCTGACTAAATACTTTTTCCCCCCACTGTATTAGAGCAGGGATAGGCCTACCTCTCATTGCCCTGAGCAGCTGTGTCTCCCGCACTGTGCGCCCAGTTATCGGACAGTCAAATGCATAAAAACTCGATAGGCTACTGAACTGAAGGAGAGGACACATCAATTCAGTCAACAGATAACTTGACTTTTTCCACATTTTGTTACGTTACAGCCTTATTCTAAAATTGATTAAATCATTTTTTTCCCATCATCAATCTACACACAATACCCCATAATGACAAAGGAAAAACTGGTTATTAGAAATAAAAAATGGAAATATCACATTTACATAAGTGTTCAGACATTTTACTCAGTACTTTATTGAAACGCCTTTGGCAGTGATTACAGCCTGGAGTCTTCTTGGGTATGACGCTACAAGCTTGGCACACCTGTATTTGGGGAGTTTCTCCCATTTTTTTTCTCTGCAGATCCTTTCAAGCTCTGTCAGGTTGGATGGGGAGTGTCGCTGCACAGCTATTTTCAGGTCTCTCCAGAGATGTTCGATCGGGTTCAAGTCCGGGCCCTGGCTGGGCCACTCAAGGACATTCAGAGACTTGTCGCGAAGCTACTCCTGCGTTGTCTTGGCTGTGTGCTTAGGGTCGTTGTCCTGTTGGAAGGTGAACCTTCGTCTCAGTCTGAGGTCCTGAGTGCTCTGGAGCAGGTTTCCTCCGAGCAGGTTTCCTCCAGACGTGACGCTTGGCATTTAGGCCAAAGAGTTCAATCTTGGTTTCATCAGACCAGAGGATCTTGTTTCTCATGGTCTGAGATTCCTTTAGGTGCCTTTTGGCAAACTCCAAGTGGGCTGTCATGTGCTTTTTACTGAGGAGTGGCTTCCGTCTGGCCACTCTACCATACAGGCCTGATTGGTGGAGTGCTGCAGAGATGGTTGTCCTTCTGGAAGGTTCTTCCATCTCCACAGAGGAGCTCTGTCGGAGTGACCATCGGGTTCTTGGTCACCTCCCTGACCAAGGCCCTTCTACCCCAACTTCTCAGTTTGGCCAGGCGGCCAGCTCTATGAAGAGTCTTGGTGGTTCCAAACATCTTCCATTTAAGAATGATGGAGGCCACTGTGTTCTGGAATTAAACCTGTTCGCTTTGTCATTATGGGGTATTGTGTGTAGATTGAGGGGGAAAAATTGAATTTAATCCATTTTAGAATAAAGCTGTAAGGTAACAAAATGTGGAAGAAGTCAAGGGGTCTGAATACTTTCCGAATGCACTGTATATATTAGTTAGACCTAATCAACACACTCACTCTCTGACCTCACTCGGTCAGTCACTCACCGTACACAAGGGGAGTGTCATCAGGTCAATCAATACATCTTTTGGTTTCAATCCCATAAACAAGTGGTGTTTTACTATTCAAATAAAGACACACCGGTCCTTTATTCAGTGTTGATCCCCTGGTCTTCCTCCCTCCTTATCAACCCTCCTTTCTCTCTGTCTCTGTCTCTCTGTCTCTGTCTCTCTCTCTCTCTGTCTGTCTCTCTCTGTCTGTCTGTCTCTCTCTCTCTCTCAGCTCAGTGGAATAGATCAGCCGCCTCTCAACACAAAGCAGCCCACTGTAGTGTGAGATAAAGCTGATATCTTCATACCACCCCCTTCTCTCCTCGCAAAACACAAACGCACACCCTCCCCTCCTCTCTGCAGGCAGGCTACAGCAAAGGCCTCCTGCTTGACGTTCCACTAGCTCGGCCTGGTTGTTTTTTAAGAGGAAAACACACAGGCAGCGATTTGCATTTCCAAGTCTAATGTGAAGTGCTTTCTCAGTGTGGCACACAGCAGAAAGCTGTGTGTGTGTGTGTAAGCTGTTATCTCTCCTCACCTCCTCCTCAGTGGAGGTGACGTCTGAGAGGCATTAGCATACAACTCTGTAGGGAGGCCCCCCGTGCTGTGTGTGACTGTAGCAGCATTTGTGACGCGGCCTGACACCTGACAGGCGCTGTGATAATCTGAGCTGAGGAGTCCAGATGCCACACTGAGGTGTCAATCCCCTGTCACCTTTCTCTCACTGACACTGTCCAGTAGTGGTTACAGACAGTCCCTTCCCTCTCCATGGGTGGGTCTGACACTACTTATGGTTGTTATAGCAGGGCACCTAAACTGTCCTTAGAAACACTGTAACATCCAGGCTCTCTGCCACCTAAGCTGTCAAATGGACTAAGACGCTCTTAGTTGGTGGCAACAGAGTTGGGACTATTTTAGGGCTAACCCCATTTAGTCGACTGGTCCATTGTTTGGTCGATAGGCTGTTGGTCGACTGAGATTTATTTAGTTGAGCAGTAGCACAAAAAAATTGAATCATGGTGTTCAAGACACCTGTCTGATTTTAGCTCCTGTCTGAGTGGACTGATCCACTGTGGAGGCCGTGGGGATGGGGCAGTCCATCACTCAAAAACGTGCTACTGAAATTGTATATGGTTATGTTATTTAAGAATAATGGTGCAACACTAATACAAATTAATATTTTCTAACAAATGCGCTTTCGACCGCGTTGGATAGCTGTCGCTGTCCGTGGCTCTGAAACACATCAGTGAGTTGTTTAATTTGCCGCCTTTTTCTAGACCATGTTGCTATGCGCATAATAGCACATTTAACCAGCATATTGGTGTTGAGAACAATGCGGCGGAAACAGCAGCGAAGGTAGGAGACGAGAAAACAGCCCTTGCCTTAATTGTTTAAGAAAAGTGAGGAGAGCGGAAACCCCAACTTTTAATTAGGTCTATAATCAATAGCCTAACTGTTAAATGTGCCTGTCTTTATAGATCAAATACTTTGCCTTCGGAAAGTATTCAGACCCCTTGACCTTTTCCACATTTTGTTACGTTACAGCCTTATTCTAAACTTCTGTTCTGTTGAAATTGTTAAAAGTAGTCGTTGTGCGTAGAGTCTCCATGTCGCTCAATTACCATGGAATTGCCCTGCTGTTATCAGAATTTCTGCAGAGCGTATCGCCGTAGGATTGCATTGACCGGCAGAGCGGTCTTTCAGTCATCCCGGCTGCGAGATGCACTAGTGAGATCAAAGAGCAGATCCACATTTAGCCGCGTGCGCACATTTTGTTGATATTGCTTGTTAATTAGTGAATTATTTGCACAGTTATAGCACATTTTTGGTCAGCAAACAGGCTTCGTACGGTCATGAAAATCCTGGAAAATGTAAATGTGATAATTCAGTTTTGTATTTTTTGATAAATTAGCAAATATTTATAAGCCTGTGTTTCCTTTGTCATTATGGGGTATTGTGTGTAGATTGATGAAGGGGGGGGGGGGGACAATTTAATCAATTTTAGAATAAGTCTGTAACCTAACAAAATGTCGAGGGGTCTGAATACTTTCCGACTGCACTGTATATCTACAGAAATAAGACGGATCCTGATTCTGTTGCCTGTTTGAGTGTTTGTTAATAACCTACTGATTCCTTGGAGCACCAAACCTCACGTGGCCACAACATGTCGGATAAACAATTTCACAAATGTGGCTGTTTTTTATATTTTGCTATTCCGTAATAAAGGCTTTACACTTTTTTTTTGTTTTAAGTTCAACAGCCTCTCTGGTATTATTTATAATTTATTTAGTGTTTACACTGTTCCAAATTGTCAAAAATTATATTTATAATAACCCTCTTTTTCTTGATATACTTATTGTTATTATTATGATCATAATAATAAGTAATGTAATTATCATTAGTAGGCTTAGTATAGAAGCCTTGTATAACCACCATCGAGCTGTAGGCCTAAGAGCTCATCCTGTTTAGCCTTAATACCGTAACTTACTTAGGCCTATATTTCAATACTTATATAGGCTACTGTGTCAATCATTCATTCGTTCATGTCATCACACAGCATACGAGTCATTCATGATTTGAAATGCGATCAAGGATTTTAGTTTTTAAATAAAATCACAAAGCGACCCTTGAATCATTTAGTGTAAACAATAAATAAACCGTTCCATTTCGGAAATTGGATTCACTAATGAATGCGACTGTTTTTAGTCTTTAATAAAGGCTTTACCATTGCTTTTTACAACACACACTCTGGTACATTTTATAGTTGATTTAGTCTTTTTACATTTGTTCCAAACGGTCAGAAAAATATTGTAATCTAACAGCACCTGTTTGGCGTAACATAATATGATGCCAAACAGGTGTGTGTATATATAAATATCCTACCTTTATTTTTCTTGATCTCCAGTATTTTCCACAACTAGTCACATCTATTCCACACATCTGACTTCCCCTTTACCTCCTGAACAACCAGTAAACATGACCCAGTTTCGAGTTCACGTCCTCTGCATCCATTTTGCTGTCACATGTTAGTGTTCTCCTAATCACTTTTAAGTTTTTTGAATTTGCCTTGGCATGTTCCATCTGTCTCCTGCATTGATCTGATCCTGATGTGCAGCTTCTGGTTTGCCTCTCCTCTCCAGAACTTCTGCAGTCGAGCTGCCCTGGAGGCCCAAGGATCCTGCCTCAATAACAAGTACTCAGAGGGCTACCCAGGCAGGAGGTAAGGCTACTACTTAACAATGTCCATACTAGGCTAGCGCACACCTAGGCACCTTTTCCTTTTTCACCCAATTCCCCAGAACAGTTTTAATCAGTATTAGGATTATAATTCCTGCGTTGGCAATTAGGCACAGCTATTGTTCTGACCCATTTTTATTTATGGCACTCAACGGAAAGTGGATGAGTGTTTCTAATCGGACAAGTACCGGTAGATCCTCCTTGTTTCAGTCTGTTTTCTTCTGTTGTGTGATCTAATGAACATGGCCCTGTTCTCACTATAGTGGAGCTGAGGGGGGTTAGTAGATGGTGTTAACCCTCTCCTCTAGGTATTATGGTGGAGCTGAGGGGGTTAGTAGATGGTGTTAACCCTCTCCTCTAGGTACTATGGTGGAGCTGAGGGGGGTTAGTAGATGGTGTTAACCCTCTCCTCTAGGTATTATGGTGGAGCTGAGGGGGGTTAGTAGATGGTGTTAACCCTCTCCTCTAGGTACTATGGTGGAGCTGAGGGGGTTAGTAGATGGTGTTAACCCTCTCCTGGGTACTATGGTGTAGCTGAGGGGGGTTAGTAGATGGTGTTAACCCTCTCCTCTCCTCTAGGTACTATGGTGGAGCTGAGGGGGGTTAGTAGATGGTGTTAACCCTCTCCTCTCCTCTAGGTACTATGGTGGAGCTGAGGGGGTTAGTAGATGGTGTTAACCCTCTCCTAGGTATTATGGTGGAGCTGAGGGGGGTTAGTAGATGGTGTTAACCCTCTCCTCTCCTCTAGGTATTATGGTGGAGCTGAGGGGGGTTAGTAGATGGTGTTAACCCTCTCCTCTCCTCTAGGTATTATGGTGGAGCTGAGGGGGGTTAGTAGATGGTGTTAACCCTCTCCTAGGTACTATGGTGGAGCTGAGGGGGTTTAGTAGATGGTGTTAACCCTCTCCTCTAGGTACTATGGTGGAGCTGAGGGGGTTTAGTAGATGGTGTTAACCCTCTCCTGGGTACTATGGTGGAGCTGAGGGGGGTTAGTAGATGGTGTTAACCCTCTCCTCTCCTCCAGGTACTATGGTGGAGCTGAGGGGGTTTAGTAGATGGTGTTAACCCTCTCCTCTAGGTACTATGGTGGAGCTGAGGGGGGTTTAGTAGATGGTGTTAACCCTCTCCTCTAGGTACTATGGTGGAGCTGAGGGGGGTTAGTAGATGGTGTTAACCCTCTCCTCTCCTCTAGGTACTATGGTGGAGCTGAGGGGGGTTAGTAGATGGTGTTAACCCTCTCCTCTAGGTACTATGGTGGAGCTGAGGGGGGTTTAGTAGATGGTGTTAACCCTCTCCTCTAGGTACTATGGTGGAGCTGAGGGGGGTTAGTAGATGGTGTTAACCCTCTCCTCTCCTCTAGGTACTATGGTGGAGCTGAGGGGGGTTAGTAGATGGTGTTAACCCTCTCCTCTAGGTACTATGGTGGAGCTGAGGGGGGTTTAGTAGATGGTGTTAACCCTCTCCTCTAGGTACTATGGTGGAGCTGAGGGGGTTAGTAGATGGTGTTAACCCTCTCCTCTCCTCCAGGTACTATGGTGGAGCTGAGGGGGTTTAGTAGATGGTGTTAACCCTCTCCTCTCCTCTAGGTACTATGGTGGAGCTGAGGGGGTTTAGTAGATGGTGTTAACCCTCTCCTCTAGGTACTATGGTGGAGCTGAGGGGGGTTAGTAGATGGTGTTAACCCTCTCCTCTAGGTATTATGGTGGAGCTGAGGGGGGTTAGTAGATGGTGTTAACCCTCTCCTCTAGGTATTATGGTGGAGCTGAGGGGGGTTAGTAGATGGTGTTAACCCTCTCCTCTAGGTATTATGGTGGAGCTGAGGGGGGTTAGTAGATGGTGTTAACCCTCTCCTCTAGGTATTATGGTGGAGCTGAGGGGGGTTAGTAGATGGTGTTAACCCTCTCCTCTAGGTATTATGGTGGAGCTGAGGGGGGTTAGTAGATGGTGTTAACCCTCTCCTCCAGGTACTATGGTGGAGCTGAGGGGGTTTAGTAGATGGTGTTAACCCTCTCCTAGGTATTATGGTGGAGCTGAGGGGGGTTAGTAGATGGTGTTAACCCTCTCCTCTAGGTACTATGGTGGAGCTGAGGGGGGTTAGTAGATGGTGTTAACCCTCTCCACTCCTCTAGGTACTATGGTGGAGCTGAGGGGGGTTAGTAGATGGTGTTAACCCTCTCCTCTCCTCTAGGTACTATGGTGGAGCTGAGGGGGGTTAGTAGATGGTGTTAACCCTCTCCTAGGTATTATGGTGGAGCTGAGGGGGTTTAGTAGATGGTGTTAACCCTCTCCTCTAGGTACTATGGTGGAGCTGAGGGGGGTTTAGTAGATGGTGTTAACCCTCTCCTCTAGGTACTATGGTGGAGCTGAGGGGGTTTAGTAGATGGTGTTAACCCTCTCCTGGGTATTATGGTGGAGCTGAGGGGGGTTAGTAGATGGTGTTAACCCTCTCCTCTCCTCTAGGTACTATGGTGGAGCTGAGGGGGTTTAGTAGATGGTGTTAACCCTCTCCTCTAGGTACTATGGTGGAGCTGAGGGGGGTTTAGTAGATGGTGTTAACCCTCTCCTCTAGGTACTATGGTGGAGCTGAGGGGGGTTAGTAGATGGTGTTAACCCTCTCCTCTCCTCTAGGTACTATGGTGGAGCTGAGGGGGGTTAGTAGATGGTGTTAACCCTCTCCTCTAGGTACTATGGTGGAGCTGAGGGGGGTTAGTAGATGGTGTTAACCCTCTCCTCTAGGTACTATGGTGGAGCTGAGGGGGGTTTAGTAGATGGTGTTAACCCTCTCCTCTAGGTACTATGGTGGAGCTGAGGGGGTTAGTAGATGGTGTTAACCCTCTCCTCTCCTCCAGGTACTATGGTGGAGCTGAGGGGGGTTAGTAGATGGTGTTAACCCTCTCCTCTAGGTACTATGGTGGAGCTGAGGGGGGTTAGTAGATGGTGTTAACCCTCTCCTCTAGGTATTTTGGTGGAGCTGAGGGGGGTTAGTAGATGGTGTTAACCCTCTCCTCCAGGTATTTTGGTGGAGCTGAGGGGGGTTAGTAGATGGTGTTAACCCTCTCCTCTAGGTACTATGGTGTAGCTGAGGGGGGTTAGTAGATGGTGTTAACCCTCTCCTCTCCTCTAGGTACTATGGTGGAGCTGAGGGGGTTAGTAGATGGTGTTAACCCTCTCCTCTAGGTACTATGGTGGAGCTGAGGGGGGTTAGTAGATGGTGTTAACCCTCTCCTCTCCTCCAGGTATTATGGTGGAGCTGAGGGGGGTTAGTAGGTGGTGTTAACCCTCTCCTAGGTACTATGGTGGAGCTGAGGGGGTTTAGTAGATGGTGTTAACCCTCTCCTCTCCTCTAGGTATTATGGTGGAGCTGAGGGGGGTTAGTAGATGGTGTTAACCCTCTCCTAGGTACTATGGTGGAGCTGAGGGGGTTTAGTAGATGGTGTTAACCCTCTCCTCTCCTCTAGGTATTATGGTGGAGCTGAGGGGGTTTAGTAGATGGTGTTAACCCTCTCCTAGGTACTATGGTGGAGCTGAGGGGGGTTAGTAGATGGTGTTAACCCTCTCCTCTAGGTATTATGGTGGAGCTGAGGGGGGTTAGTAGATGGTGTTAACCCTCTCCTCTAGGTACTATGGTGGAGCTGAGGGGGGTTAGTAGATGGTGTTAACCCTCTCCTAGGTATTATGGTGGAGCTGAGGGGGGTTAGTAGATGGTGTTAACCCTCTCCTAGGTATTATGGTGGAGCTGAGGGGGTTAGTAGATGGTGTTAACCCTCTCCTCCAGGTACTATGGTGGAGCTGAGGGGGGTTAGTAGATGGTGTTAACCCTCTCCTCTAGGTATTATGGTGGAGCTGAGGGGGTTAGTAGATGGTGTTAACCCTCTCCTGGGTACTATGGTGGAGCTGAGGGGGTTAGTAGATGGTGTTAACCCTCTCCTCTAGGTACTATGGTGGAGCTGAGGGGGTTTAGTAGATGGTGTTAACCCTCTCCTCTAGGTATTATGGTGGAGCTGAGGGGGGTTTAGTAGATGGTGTTAACCCTCTCCTGGGTATTATGGTGGAGCTGAGGGGGGTTTAGTAGATGGTGTTAACCCTCTCCTGGGTATTATGGTGGAGCTGAGGGGGGTTAGTAGATGGTGTTAACCCTCTCCTCTCCTCTAGGTACTATGGTGGAGCTGAGGGGGTTTAGTACAGTGCATTTGGGAAGTATACAGCTCCCTTGACCTTTTCCACATTTTGTTACGTTACAGCCTTATTAAAAAAAAAAAATTGTTTATCCTCAATCGACACACAATACCCCATAATGACAAAACAAAAAAAGTTTTTTTAGAAATGTTTGCAAATGAAATATCACATTTACATACACTACCTGTCAAGTTTTAGAACTCCTACTCATTCAAGGGTTTTTCTTTATATTTACTATTTTTTACATTGTAGGATAATAGTGAAGACAGCAAAACTATGAGATAACCAATCAGTTGTGTTGTGACAAGGTAGGGGTGGTATACAGAAGATAGCCCTATTTGGGAAAATACCAAATCCATATTATGGCAAGAACAGCTCAAAATAAGCAAAGAGAAACAACAGTCCATCATTACTTTAAGACATGGTCCATCAATACGGAACATTTCAAGAACTTTGAAAGTTTCTTCAAGTGCCGTCGCAAAAACCATCAAGCGCTATGACACAACTGGCTCTCATGAGGACCGCAACGGGAATGGAAGATCCAGAGTTACCTCTGCTGCAGAGGATATGTTTATTAGAGTTACCAGCCTCAGAAATTGCAGCCCAAATAAATGCTTCAGAGTTCAATTAACGGACACATCGCAACATCAACTGTTCAGAGGAGACTGTGTGAATCAGGCCTTCATGGTCAAATTGTTGCAAAGAAACCACTACTAAAGGACACCAATAATTAGAAGAGACTTGCTTGGGCCAAGAAACATGAGCAATGGACATTAGACCGGTGGAAATGTGTCCTTTAGTCTGGATTCCAAATTGGAGATTTTTCATTCCAACCGCCGTGTCTTTGTGAGACACGGTGTGGGTGAACGTATGATCCCTGCATGTGTATTTCACACCGTAAAGCATGGAGGTGTTATGGTCTGGGGGTGCTTTGCAGGTGACACTGTCTGATTTTATTTAGAATTCAAGGCACACTTAACCAGCATGGCTACCACAGCATTCTGCAGCGATACGCAATCCCATCTGGTTTGGGCTTAGTTGGACTATCATTTGTTTTTCAACAGGACAATGACCCAACACACCTCCAGGCTGTGTAAGGGCTATTTTACCAAGAAGGGGAGTGATGGAGTGCTGCATCAGATGACCTGGCCTCCACAATCCCTCGAACTCAACCCAATTGAGATGGTTTGGGATGAGTTGGACGGCAGAGTGAAGGAAAAGCAGCCAACTAGTGCTCAGCATATGTGGGAACTCCTTCAAGACTTTTGAAAAAGCATTCCAGGTGAAGCTGGTTGAGAGAATGCCAAGAGTGTGCAAAGCTGTCATCAAGGCAAAGGGTGGCTGTTTGAAGCATCTCAAATATAACATATATTTTGATATGTTTAATGCTTTTTTGGTTACTACATGATTCCATATGTGTTATTCTACAATGTAGAAAATAGTAAAATAAAGAAAAACCCTTGAATGTGTAATACACTTTTTGACAGGTAGTGTAAGTATTCAGACCCTTGACTCAGTACTTTGTTGAAGAACCTTTGGCAGCGTTTACAGCCTGGAGTCTTCTTGGGTATGACGCTACAAGCTTGGCACACTTGTATTTGGGTAGTTTCTCCCATTCTTCTCTGCAGATCCTCTCAAGCTCTGTCAGGTTGGATGGGGAGCGTCGCTGCACAGGTATTTTCAGGTCTCTCCAGAGATGTTCGATAGGGTTCAAGTCCAGGCTCTGGCTGGGCCACTCAAGGACATTCAGAGAATTGTCCCGAAACCACTCCTGCATTGTCTTGGCTGTGTGCTTACGGTCGTTGTCCTATTGGAAGGGGAACCTTCACCCCAGTCTGAGGTCCTGAGCACTCTGGAGCAGGTTTTCATCAAGGATCTCTCTGTACTTTGCTCCATTCATCTTTCCCTCGATCCTGACTAGTCTCACAGTCCCTGCCGCTGAAAAACATCCTCACAGCATGATTCTGCCACCACCATGCTTCACCGTAGGGATGGTGCCAGGTTTCCTCCAGACGTGACGCTTGGCATTCAGGCCAAAGAGTTCAATCTTGGTTTCATCAGACCAGAGGATCTTGTTTCTCATGGTCTGAGAGTCCTTTAGGTGCCTTTTGGCAAACTCCAAACAGGCTGTCATGTGCCTTTTACTGAGGAGTGGCTTCCGTCTGGCCACTCTACCATAAAGGCCTGGTTGGTGGAGTGCTGCAGAGATGGTTGTCCTTCTGGAAGTTTCTTCCATCTCCACAGAGGAGCTCTGGAGCTCTGTCAGAGTGACCATCGGGTTCTTGGTCACCTCCCTAACAAAGGTCCTTCTCCCCCGATTGCTCAGTTTGGCTGGGCGGCCAACTCTAGGAAGAGTCTTGGTGGTTCCAAACATCTTCCATTTAAGAATGATGGAGGGCACTGTGTTCTTGGGGACCTTCAATGCTGCAGACATTTTTTGGTACCCTTCCCCAGGTCTGTGCCTCGACACAATCCTGTCTCGGAGCTCTACGGACAATTCCTTCGACCTAATTTCTTGGTTTTTGCTCTGACATGCACTGTGAACTGTGGGACCTTATAAAGACAGGTATGTGCCTTTCCAAATCTTGTCCAATCAACGTCATTTACCAATGGAAACAGGATGCACCTGAGCTCAATTTCGAGTCACATAGCAAAGGGTCTGAATACTTATGTAAATAAGGTATTTCTGTTTTTTTATTTTTAATACAGGTATTTTGGTGGAGCTGAGGGAGTTTAGTAGATGGTGTTAACCCTCTCCTCTCCTCTAGGTACTATGGTGGAGCTGAGGGGGGTTAGTAGATAGTGTTAACCCTCTCCTCTCCTCTATGTATTATGGTGGAGCTGAGGGAGTTTAGTAGATGGTGTTAACCCTCTCCTCTAGGTACTATGGTGGAGCTGAGGGGGGTTAGTAGATGGTGTTAACCCTCTCCTAGGTACTATGGTGTAGCTGAGGGGGGTTAGTAGATGGTGTTAACCCTCTCCTCTAGGTACTATGGTGTAGCTGAGGGGGGTTAGTAGATGGTGTTAACCCTCTCCTCTAGGTACTATGGTGGAGCTGAGGGGGGTTAGTAGATGGTGTTAACCCTCTCCTCTCCTCTAGGTATTATGGTGGAGCTGAGGGGGGTTAGTAGATAGTGTTAACCCTCTCCTCTCCTCTATGTATTATGGTGGAGCTGAGGGAGTTTAGTAGATGGTGTTAACCCTCTCCTCTCCTCTATGTATTATGGTGGAGCTGAGGGGGTTTAGTAGATGGTGTTAACCCTCTCCTCTAGGTACTATGGTGGAGCTGAGGGGGGTTAGTAGATGGTGTTAACCCTCTCCTAGGTACTATGGTGTAGCTGAGGGGGGTTAGTAGATGGTGTTAACCCTCTCCTCTAGGTACTATGGTGTAGCTGAGGGGGGTTAGTAGATGGTGTTAACCCTCTCCTCTAGGTACTATGGTGGAGCTGAGGGGGGTTAGTAGATGGTGTTAACCCTCTCCTCTCCTCTAGGTACTATGGTGTAGCTGAGGGGGGTTAGTAGATGGTGTTAACCCTCTCCTCCAGGTACTATGGTGGAGCTGAGGGGGTAGTAGATGGTGTTAACCCTCTCCTCTAGGTATTATGGTGGAGCTGAGGGGGGTTAGTAGATGGTGTTAACCCTCTCCTCTAGGTACTATGGTGGAGCTGAGGGGGGTTAGTAGATGGTGTTAACCCTCTCCTCTAGGTACTATGGTGGAGCTGAGGGGGGTTAGTAGATGGTGTTAACCCTCTCCTCTCCTCTAGGTACTATGGTGGAGCTGAGGGGGGTTAGTAGATGGTGTTAACCCTCTCCTCTAGGTACTATGGTGGAGCTGAGGGGGGTTAGTAGATGGTGTTAACCCTCTCCTCTCCTCCAGGTACTATGGTGGAGCTGAGGGGGGTTAGTAGATGGTGTTAACCCTCTCCTCTCCTCTAGGTATTATGGTGGAGCTGAGGGGGTTTAGTAGATGGTGTTAACCCTCTCCTCTCCTCTAGGTACTATGGTGGAGCTGAGGGGGGTTAGTAGATGGTGTTAACCCTCTCCTCTCCTCTAGGTACTATGGTGGAGCTGAGGGGGGTTAGTAGATGGTGTTAACCCTCTCCTCTCCTCTAGGTACTATGGTGGAGCTGAGGGGGGTTAGTAGATGGTGTTAACCCTCTCCTCTCCTCTAGGTACTATGGTGGAGCTGAGGTGGTGGACCAGATAGAGTTGTTGTGCCAGAAGAGAGCCTTGGAGGCCTTTGACCTGGACCCTGCCCTGTGGGGGGTGAACGTCCAGCCCTACTCTGGCTCTCCCGCAAACTTTGCTGCCTACACCGCCGTCCTCAACCCTCATGACCGCATCATGGGCCTAGACCTGCCTGACGGTGGACAGTATGTAGCTGTCTTCCTCTCTCTTTCTGTCTATTCATCTCTCGTTATCTCTCACTGTCTCTCTCACTGTCTCTCTCACTGTCTCTCTCACTGTCCCCTTGTCTCTCTCTGTTTCTCTCACTTTCTCTGTCTCAATCTCTATCTTGATTTCTCTCCCTCACCAAGTCACGGACTACCAGTCCCTCACTCACTCACCTTTTACTGTCATAGTGTGCACCATATTTTTGCAAGGTGTTGTCTTGTTAATTCGAACTTATATTGAGGAAAAATATTAATTAGATTATGTTTATTGTAAGTAACTTATATACGGTTATCTTACCAAGCAGGCTGACTGTAAATCACTGTAGATAAGAGCGTCTGCTAAATGACCAAAGGGTAATGTAAATGTATATTGAATAACATAAATATTGTCATGTTGCCTAACATGCTGTTGTTGTTGTTGTTGTCCTTCTGCAGTCTGACCCATGGTTATATGTCTGACACCAAGAGGATCTCTGCTACCTCCATCTATTTTGAATCCATGCCCTACAAGCTCAATGTAAGTAGAGCCACACTCCACTCCTTCCAGGTCCCTCTCTCCTTGTCTCCTCAAAACCCATTGGAGGAGAAGGTCTGAGGGGAGGGACCTTTTGATCTTCTCCTCCACCAATACGTTTTGAGAAAGAGCAATCAAGGAAAGACCAGTTCGGAGCCATATAGTAACCCTGTCCAGTGTCCACACCCTATGATCTAGACACCATGCCACCCTCACTTGTCTGCTAGTGGGGAACATTCTTCCCCTTACCTCTCCTCATCTGTAGTGACAGTAGCTACTATAAACGCTACTCATCACTAATGCAATGAAAGAAAATGGATTCGAATACATTTACATTTACATTTAAGTCATTTAGCAGATGCTCTTATCCAGAGCGACTTACAAATTGGGTCATTCAACTTAGGATAGCCAATGGGACAACCACCACTGGGTGGGGGGGTGTAGAAGGATTACTGTTATACTATTCCAGGTATTCCTTAAAGAGGTAGGGCTTCAAGTGTCTCCGGAAGGTGGTCAGTGACTCCGCTGTCCTGGCGTCGTGGGGGAGCTTGTTCCACCATTGGGGTGCCAGAGCAGCGAATAGCTTTGACTGGGCTGAGCGGGAACTGTGCTTCCGTAGAGGTAGGGGGGCTAGCAGGCCAGAGGTGGATGAACGTAGTGCCCTCGTTTGGGTGTAGGGTCTGATCAGAGCCTGAAGGGAAGGAAGTGACGTTCCCCTCACAGCTCCGTAGGCAAGCACCATGGTCTTGTAACAGATGCGAGCTTCAACTGGAAGCCAGTGGAGTGTGCGGAGGAGTGGGGTGACATGAGAGAACTTGGGAAGGTTGAACACCAGATGGCTGCAGCGTTCTGGATGAGTTGTAGGGGTTTAATGGCACAGGCAGGGAGCCCAGCCAACAGCGAGTTGCAGTAATCCAGATGGGAGATGACAAGTGCCTGGATTAGGACCTGTGCCGCTTTCTGTGTAAGGTAGGGTCGTACTCTGCGAATGTTGTAGAGCATGAACCTGCAGGATCGGGTCACCGCTTTGATGTTAGCGGAGAACGACAGGGTGTTGTCCAGGGTCACGCCAAGGTTCCTTGCACTCTGGGAGGAGGACACAATGGAGTTGTCAACCGTGATGGCGAGACAGTCCTTCCCCGGGAGGAAGAGCAGCTCCGTCTTGCCGAGGTTCAGCTTGAGGTGGTGATCCGACATCCACACTGATATGTCCGCCAGAGATGCGATTCGCCAACTGGTTATCAGAATAATTAATTGTGTGTCGTCTGCGTAGCAATGATAGGAGAGACGATGTGAGGATATGACAGAGCCAAGTGACTTGGTGTATAGAGAGAATAGGAGAGGGCCTAGAACTGAGTCCTCAAGGACACCAGTGGTGAGAGCACATGGTGATGAGACAGATTCTCGCCACGCAACCTGGTAGGAGCAACCTGTCAGGTAGGACGCAATCCAAGAGTGAGCAGGGCCGGAGATTCCCAACTCGGAGAGGGTGGAGAGCAGGATCTGATGGTTCACAGTATCAAAGGCAGCAGACAGGTCTAGAAGGACAAGAGCAGAGGAGAGAGAGTTAGCTTTAGCAGTGCGGAGAGCCTCCGTGACACAGAGAAGAGAGTCTCAGTTGAATGACCAGTCTTGAAACCTGACTGGTTTGGATCAAGAAGGTCATTCTGCGAGAGATAGCAGGAGAGTTGGCTAGACACGGCACGCTCAAGAGTTTTGGAGAGAAAAGAAAGAAGGGATACTGGTCTGTAGTTGTTGACATCGGAGGGATCGAGTGTAGGTTTTTTGAGGAGGGGTGCAACTCTCGCTGTCTTGAAGACGGAAGGGACATAGCCAGCGGTCAAGAATGAGTTGATGAGCGAGGTGAGGTAAGGGAGAAGGTCTCCGGAAATGGTCTGGAGAAGAGAGGAGGGGATAGGGTCAAGCGGGCAGGTTGTTGGGCGGCCGGCCGTCACAAGTTGCAAGATTTCATCTGGAGAGAGAGGGGAGAAAGAAGTCAAAGCATAGGGTAGGGCAGTGTGAGCAGGACCAGCGGTGTCATTTGACTTAATGAATGAGGATTGGATGTCGTCAACCTTCTTTTCAAAATGGTTGACGAAGTCATCCACAGAGGGGGAGGAGGAGGAGGATTCAGGAGGGAGGAGAAGGTGGCAAAGAGATTCCTAGGGTTAGAGGCAGAGGCTTGAAATTTAGTGTGGTAGAAAGTGGCTTTAGCAGCAGAAATAGAGGAAGAAAATGTAGAGAGGAGGGAGTGAAAAGATGCCAGGTCCGCAGGGAGTCCAGTTTTCCTCCATTTCCGCTCGGCTGCCCGGAGCCCTGTTCTGTGAGCTCGCAATGAGTCGTCAAGCCACGGAGCAGGAGGGGAGGACCGAGCCGGCCGGGAGGATAGGGGACATGGAGAGTCAAAGAATGCAGAAAGGGAGGAGAGGAGGGTTGAGGAGGCAGATTCAGGAGATCGGAGGGAGAAGGATTTAGCAGAGGGAAGAGATGATAGGATGGAAGAGGAGAGAGTAGCGGGAGAGAGAGAGCGAAGGTTGCGACTGCACGTTACCATCTGAGTAGGGGCAGAGTGAGTAGTGTTGGAGGAGAGAAAAGGATACAAAGTAGTGGTCGGAGACTTGGAGGGGAGTTGCAGTGAGATTAGTAGAACAACAGCATCTGGTAAAGATGAAGTCAAGCGTATTGCCTGCCTTGTGAGTAGGGGGGGACGGTGAGAGGGTGAGGTCAAAAGAGGAAAGGAGTAGAAAGAAGGAGAAAGAGAGAAATTGGTCAAAGGCAGACGTAGGGAGGTTAAAGTCAGAACTGTGAGGGGGGAGCCATCCTCAGGAAAGGAACATATCAAGGCGTCAAGCTCATTGATGAACTCTCCAAGGGAACCTGGAGGGCGATAAATTACAAGGATGTTAAGCTTGAATGGGCTAGTGACTGACAGCATGGAATTCAAATGAGGAGATAGACAGATGGGTCAGGGGAAAAAGAGAGAATGTCCACTTTGGAGAGATGAGGATTCCTGTGCCACCGCCGCGCTGACCAGATGCTCTCGGGGTATGCGAGAACACATGATCAGACGAGGAAAGAGCAGTAGGGGTAGCAGTGTTTTCTGATCTAATCCATGTTTCCGTCAGCGCCAAGAAGTCGAGGGACTGGAGGGTAGCATAGGCTGAGATGAACTCTGCCTTGTTGGCCGCAGAACGGCAGATTTCCAGAGGCTGCCGGAGACCTGGAACTCCACGTGGGTCGTGCGCGCAGGGACCACCAGATTAGAGTGGCAGCAGCCACGCGGTGTGAAGCGTTTGTATGACCTGTGCAGAGTGGAGAGAACTGGGATAGACAGACACATAGTTGACAGGCTACAGAAAAGGCTACAATAATGCAAAAGAGATCGGAATAAAATTAACTAAACATCTGGGGAAGCGAGAGAGCGGGGCCTCCCTCACTTACCTTTCACTGAAACACTCAAATATAACAATAGAATACAATAGAAAAGTTACAATAAATATTTTACTTTTCAGTTTATTAAAAAGTCATTGAAAATATATTGCCTTTTTTCGATTATTGAATTGTAATTTTAGTTTACTTCCTGAATTGACTGTGAGTGCGCGTGTGTGCAATGCTTGGGTGTGTGTGCTTATCTGTGTGTGTTGAGGTAATGTGATCAATGTTATGGTGTGTAGGCTTGGGCAGTATCCAGATTGTCACACCTTCATACCGAACTTCTGCCATACCTGGATATTCGGTAATACCGGCACTGAACACAAGGGGCACTGTTTTCAAACAATATAATAATAATAATAATATGCCATTTAGCAGACGCTTTTATCCAAAGCGACTTACAGTCATGCGTGCATACATTTTTTTTTTGTGTATGGGTGGTCCCGGGGATCAAACCCACTACCTTGGCGTTACAAGCGCCGTGCTCTACCAGCTGAGCTACAGAGAACCACAAACCCCACTGATACTCTGTAATCTGAACTTTAGCAATGCTAACAACTACATGTAAAATCCTATAGAGAATGCTAACGAAATGCTAATGAGTGCATTGTGAACATTTTGTACAGTATTAGACCTAAACTATACAAGTGACTCAAAGTGCTACTCAGAGTTTTCTGCATGCGCAAAAAAAAATATTAGCCAGCAAGGCTCTTGGTCCAGAAGGAGATTCTCTGCTGTTACCAAGCGAATGCTTGATTTTGGAAGAAGCTAACCACGTAGCAAGATAGCTAACTAGCTACTAAATTAGCAAACCAAATGCACAACTGCAGAGCATTTAACACATTTTAGACAGTTAATAGTTATAAGACAGCTAGCTGGAAAACATTTAGTTGTGAATTCCATACTGAGCGTGACGTATGTTGTTGAACGCTGAAAGCTGAACAAGGTTTATTGTTTTTGTAAAGCTGACAGTGTTTTTATATAAATAAATAAATAAATAAATAGGTCATTTAGCAGACGCTCTTATCCAGAGCCACTTACAGGAGCAATTAGGGTTAAGTGCCTTGCTCAAGGGCACATCGACAGATTTTTCACCTAGTCGGCTCAGGGATTAGAACCAGCGACCTTTCGGTTACTGGCACAACGCTCTTACCCACTAAGCTATATACTTTTATTTTATTACTGCGGCTCTTTTGGGCTTAGTTGCTGTGAGCGCTGCCGTCTGTCCTGTCTGATCCTGCCAGATTCCGCATAGGGGGAGAGACACGGAAGCCCAGCTAGCCTAGCTTAGCTATTGAACATTTCCAGCGCTGCAGGAGCTGTGTTTATTTTGCTTTGTTCCGGGACATTGTGGACCGCGCTGACTTTCAATATAGCAACTGCTTGCTTGCAGAGGACTACGGGGCAAAGTGGCTACTCTTAGCAAGCAAGTAGCAAACCTACACAAGCTACTGGGGAATCCACGCCCGCCTACTTTTCATTTTTCTTCCACCCCAGTAGCCGGACGCCGCTCTGGTCTGGTGGAAGTGTCGCCGCCGTGTCGGCTCTCCACAGCCGACTGGCCGGTGCTAAAGCAGGGATCCATCCCCGAAGGGGTGTCCCCCTTCCCTGGAGAACGGAGCTGTTCTCGACCCAACCAACCAGCCATGGAGATAAGTCACTCGCCGTGGAAATCGAAGACTGATATCACTTTTGCCTTATGGCAAGGTGCTCCATCATGCTAGAAAAGGCATTGTTCGTCACCAAACTGTTCTTGGATGGTTGGGAGAAGTTGCTCTCGGAGGATGTGTTGGTACCATTCTTTATTCATGGCTGTGTTCTTAGGCAAAAATGTGAGTGAGCCCACTCCCTTGGCTGAGAAGCAACCCCACACATGAATGGTCTCAGGATGCTTTACTGTTGGCATGACAAAGGACTGATGGTAGCGCTCACCTTGTCTTCTCCGGACAAGAAGTTTTCCGGATGCCCCAAACCATCGGAAAGGGGATTCATCAGAGAAAATGACTTTACCCTAATCCTCAGCAGTCCAATCCCTGTACCTTTTGCAGAATATCAGTCTGTCCCTGATGTTTTTCCTGGAGAGAAGTGGCTTATTTGCTGCCCTTCTTGACACCAGGCCATCCTCCAAAAGTCTTCGCCTCACTGTGCGTGCAGATGCACTCACACCTGCCTGCTGCCATTCCTGAGCAAGCTCTGCACTGGTGGTGCCCCGATCTCGGAGCTGAATCAACTTTAGGAGACGGTCCTGGCGCTTGCTGGACTTTCTTGGGCGCCCTGAAGCCTTCTTCACAACAATTGAACCTCTCTCCTTGAAGTTCTTGATGATCCGATAAATGGTTGATTTAGGTGCAATCTTACTAGCAGCAATATCCTTGCCTGTGAAGTCCTTTTTGTGCAAAGCAATGATGACGGCACGTGTTTCCTTGCACGTAACCATGGTTAACAGAGGAAGAACAATGATTTCAAGCACCACCCTCCTTTTAAAGCTTCCAGTCTGTTATTCTAACTCAATCAGCATGACAGAGTGATCTCCAGCCTTGTCCTCGTCAACACTCTCACCTGTGTTAACGAGAGAATCACTGACATGATGTCAGCTGGTCCTTTTGTGGCAGGGCTGAAATGCAGTGGAAATGTTTTTTGGGGATTAAGTTCATTTTCATGGCAAATTTATATTTGTGTAATTCTCAAAACTTTTGAAATAACTGCAACACTTGAGCTGTAGTTAGTTTCAGAATGGGTGGCAAGGAATAAGTTAGTCCTAATTATTTCCAAAACTAAAAGCATTGTATTTGGGACAAATCATTCACTAAACCCTAAACCTCAACTACATCTCGTAATGAATAATGTGGAAATTGAGCAAGTTGAGGTGACTAAACTGCTTGGAGTAACCCTGGATTGTAAACTGTCATCGTCAAAACATTGATACAACAGTAGCTAAGATGGGGAGAAGTCTGTCCATAACAAAGCGCTACTCTGCCTTCTTAACAACACTATCAACAAGGCAGGTCAGTAGTGTGGTCAGGTGCCACAAAGAGGGACTTGGGGAAATTGCAGTCGGTTCAGAACAGGGAGCACGGCTGGCCCTTAAAAGTACACGGAGAGCTAACATTAATGACATGCATGTCAATCTCTCATGGCTTAAAGTGAAAGAGAGATTGACTTCATCACTACTTGTTTTTGTAAGCAGTGTTGACAAGCTGAATGTACCGAGCTGTCTGTTTTTAAAATACTAGCGCACAGCTCGGACACCCATGCCTACCCCACAAGACATGCCACCAGAGGTCTCTTTACAGTCCCCAAGTCCAGAACAGACTATGGGAGGCGCACAGTACTACATAGAGCCATGGACTACATGGAACTCTATTCTACATCAGGTAACTGATGCAAGCAGTAGAATCAGATTTTTTAAAAATTAAACAGGCACAAATACACCTTATGGAACAACGACGACTGTGAAGACACACACACACACACACACACACACACACACACACACAGGTACAGACACATGCATACGCACACATTGTGATATTGTTGTATGGTGGTATTAAACATGTTGTATTGTAGTTGTGATATGATGTGCTGTTTTATCTTTTGTTTTAAATGTAATGTAAGTGCAGCTAATGGGGATCCCTTATAAATACAAATACTGTAACTAGATCACCTGGCGCATGCTGCCCAACAGTGAGTGACTCACAAGGCTCCGGTCTCTCGTCATGGTGTGCTTGTAAACAAACCCTAAGCTTCATAATAATGTGCCAGGTGAAATGTAGAAGGCAATCTTCTTTATCTCCTAAAGCATTGCACAAGTTGACTGCAGGCATTTACTTAAGTATCTACAAATATTCAAATGTATTAAAAATAATTCAAAGACATAGTTTCAACGGTTTTGACTGTATTGGAAAAACCATCCCAAGGCTATTTCCAAATACCACGGTATACGGTATATACTGCCCAAGCCTAGTGGTGTGTGTCCTCTGTGATGGATGACGGGGCAAGCCCCCACTACAGGAGAGATAATAGGAGATCAACATGGCGGCCAGCGGGGGTCCATCCAGACCAGGGACCACTCTGTCTTCCGTCTGGGGAGGGTGGGCTGTCTGTGTCTGTCTGATCACCTTGATGGAGTGACGGTGGATCTGGAGATGGGAGAGAGTTCCTCTGTCTAAATAAAGCAGGTTTCTCTCTTTCCTGTGTGGGGCTGAAGGAATGTAAATGAATAAATGATTGAATGGGACCCATATGGAGAAACATCCATCTTGGGCTTTCTGTCTTTTATTCATAATTCTCCCACTGTCGCTGCTGTGACGCTTCAGTTTCCTCTTAACAGGTGTATGTCTCTCCCTTTCTCTCTCCTTTCTCCCTCCCTCTCTCCCTCCCTCCCTCCCTCCCTCCCTCTCTCTCTCCAGCCTGCCACAGGACTCATCGACTATGACCAGCTGGAGATGACTGCCCGTCTCTTCCGGCCCAAGTTGATCATTGCAGGCACCAGCGCCTACGCTCGCCTCATTGACTACGCTCGCATCAAGAAGGTACAGACATTTTCTCCCTCCATCTCTGACTACCTACCTCCCTACCCCTCTTCACCTTCTACTTGTCCTTCTCTTCCCCCTGCAGTATCTCCTTTGTGAGTCTGAAGGCACTTCTATTTTTCTTTAGGCCTATAGTACAGTAGCTACATTCTGCTTTTTAAGGCGTTACCCAAATTGCACCATATGCCCTATATAGTGCACTACTTTTGACCAAGGCACATAGGGCTCTGGTCAAAAGTAGTGCACTATAAAGGGAATGGGGTGCCATTTGGTACGCAACCTAACACTCCCAAGATGGCTACCGCTGACCTGATTTTATATCTGATGTAATCAAGGGGAGAGAATTAGGATTCTGCATATTTAATGAGATCTCTATATAGCTGCTTTATGACTGTGATCCTTTGCCAAGGAACCATTTACACGTTATCTGACTGTTTTGGTGCTTTATCAGAAAGAGTTGACAGGGAGCGGCAACGCACCATTAAAGATGGCATTCTGTATCTTTTCTGGTTTAGAAAGCCCGTACAGGATAGCCACTCTTTTGTCATGAAAAGTGTACAGCCTTATCAAAACTCAAATTAATTGTATCCTTGTTTCAATGCGTGTTATGTTTTCAGTAATATAAACAGTATTTTCTTTCGTTGTGGTGCTGGGAATAAAAAGCCCCAATCCTTAGTGCAAGTAAGCCTTGTTCGAGACAGAACGGCCCATAGGGGCAGGAGCCAGAACGGCCCATAGGGGCAGGAGACAGAACGGCCCATAGGGGCAGGAGACAGAACGGCCCATAGGGGCAGGAGACAGAGCGGCCCATAGGGGCAGGAGACAGAGCGGCCCATAGGGGCAGGAGACAGAGCGGCCCATAGGGGCAGGAGACAGAACGGCCCATAGGGGCAGGAGACAGAACGGCCCATAGGGGCAGGAGACAGAACGGCCCATAGGGGCAGGAGACAGAACGGCCCATAGGGGCAGGAGACAGAACGGCCCATAGGGGCAGGAGACAGAACGGCCCATAGGGGCAGGAGCCTGTGTCCGAAATCTGTCTCGCCTCCTACTTACTAAAACTACATACTGTGTACTAATGGTAGTACATACTGTTTAGAACGCACTGTTTAGTAAAAAAAAAATGCAGGAAGCAACGAATATCAACATACTACTCATCCATACTGAGATGGCGTACTATAATGCACAATCGTGCGTGTTCCCGATCATTTTGGTGACCCCTATTCTGGTTTATCAGCTGTTGTCACGTGAGTGTGAAAAGACGATTCTCTTCCTCAATAGTGCGCGGTGAATTCTACTAGATGAAAAGCCAAAATGAGTGACTTCCTGGCATTTTAAGGCATTCTCAATTTTCAAAATTTCACATACTATTAAACGTTCTATTTTCACATACCCCAAAAGCCTACTATTTAGAACGCAAGGACATGGCCTATCTCCTGTTTCTGTAGTGTGAGGCAGCTTGATGTTCAAGTACTCTCGCTGGAAAGGACGCTAGTCTGTGGCAGTCCTTAGTGATGAATTATAAAATGGCTCCTGATCTGTAAACCTATTTACCACTTTCTGCATGTTTGTCTCTTCTCTCCCTGTTTATTCAGTTGTGTACGGAGGTGAAGGCCTACCTGCTGGCTGACATGGCCCACATCAGTGGCCTGGTGGCTGCGAAGGCTGTCCCCTCTCCGTTCAAGTACGCTGACATGGTCACCTCCACAACACACAAGTCCCTCCGAGGAGCCAGGTACGTGCTTGTTGGGGAGAGATTAGTCCCCTGTAGCTCAGTTGGTAGAGCATGGCGCTTGCAACGCCAGGGTTGTGGGTTCGTTTCCCACGGTGGGCCAGTATGAAAAATGTATGCACTCACTAACTGTAAGTCGCTCTGGATAAGAGATTGGATTAGCAGAAAGGAAAAAAATGTAGAAGCTAATCTGAACATTATTGCACGTGTAGATGATCATTGTAGTTTACCTAATGAATTGAATTAAATTAAAGCGAAATCTGGAAAGTAGAGAATGAACATATTTGTGGACAAAAGGAAAGGGGTTCTATTCAACTTACAGTTTACAGTTTAGTCATTTAGCAGACGCTCTCATCCAGAGCCACTTCCAGTTAGTTAGTGTATACATTTTATTTCATACTGGCCCCCCGTGGGAATCGAACCCACAACCCTGGCGTTGCAAACGCCATGCTCTACCAACTGAGCTACACGGGGCCACTTCTCCTGCAGTGTGCACTTTTTTTTTATTAGGTCTGTTTGTCCATGAAGGTGTTGTTGAGTTGCAAATGTCTTAGCTTAAACTCCAGACAGACCTGTCCGAATATCTCTCTCTCTCTCCTCCAGGGCTGGTCTGATCTTCTACCGTAAGGGCGTGCGTTCTGTGGACAAGAAGGGGAAGGAGATCCATTATGACCTTGAGGACAGGATCAACTTCGCTGTGTTCCCCTCTCTGCAGGGGGGACCCCACAACCACGCCATCGCTGGGGTGGCCGTCGCACTCAAACAGGTACCTTGTCTCTCTCTCTCTCTCACCATAAATCCATAACTCCACACCCCGTCTCTGTGGCTGTATCTCTACCTACATGTACATATTACCTGGACTAACCTGTGCCCCCGCACACTGACTCTGTACCGGTACCCCCTGTATATAGCCTCCTTATGACTAACCTGTGCCCCCGCACACTGACTCTGTTCCGGTACCCCCTGTATATAGCCTCCCTACTGTTATTTTACTGCTGCTCTTTAAAAAAAATTATTTAAATGTTTTACTTATCTATTTTTTATTTAACACTTATTTTTCTTAAAACTGCATTGTTGGTTAAGGGCTTGTAAGTCAGCATTTCACCTGTTGTATTCGGCGCATGTGACAAATACATTTTTGATTTGATTTGCACCCCCCAATTCTTCACTCTTCTCCCAAAGTGTGCACTGACACTCACACTTTTCCCTCTGTGTTTCTTTAGGCACAGACGCCGATGTTCAGAGAATACATCGGCCAGGTGATGCGGAACTCCAAGGCCATGGCTGAAGCCCTACTGGGCAAAGGATACACCCTGGTGTCAGGTACTAATCCACCGCACACCATCACTTTACTTTGCGCTTTCTAACCAATTACCTGGTGACTGTTTTTTTTCGCTCAGGAGGTATCTCATCAAAAATGTGGAAAGCGCTCACGTAAACAAAGAAATGGTATGCTCAGTAAACGAATGTTTCCCCCTCAGGGGGGACGGAGAACCACTTGGTGCTGGTGGACCTGAGGCCTAAGGGCATCGACGGAGCCAGAGCAGAGAGGGTTTTAGAGCTGGTGTCCATCACAGCCAACAAGAACACCTGCCCTGGGGACAAGAGTGCTCTGGCGCCTGGGGGCCTCAGGCTAGGTGGGTCACTCACTGTCTGGAGCACTTGGCCCAGAATATAACACCTGAGTGTGTGTGTGTGATGTACAGGCTGGAACCCTGTTTTACCACATATAGAACACCTCAGGCTGGAACCCTGTTTTACCACATATAGAACACCTCAGGCTGGAACCCTGTTTTACCACATATAGAACACCTCAGGCTGGAACCCTGTTTTACCAACATATAGAACACCTCAGGCTGGAACCCTGTTTTACCACATAAGAACACCTCAGGGCTTGGAACCCTGTGGTTTACCACATATAGAACACCTCAGGCTGGAACCCTGTTTTACCACATATAGAACACCTCATGCTGGAACCCTGTTTTACCACATATAGAACACCTCAGGCTGGAACCCTGTTTTACCACATATAGAAACACCTCAGGCTGGAACCCTGTTTTTACCAATATAGAACACCTCAGGCTGGAACCCTGTTTACCACATATAGAACACCTCAGGCCTGGAACCCTGTTTTTACCACATATAGAACACCTCAGGCTGGAACCCTGTTTTACCACATATAGAACACCTCAGGCTGGAACCCTGTTTTACCACATATAGAACACCTCAGGCTGGAACCCTGTTTTACCACATATAGAACACCTCAGACCTCAGGCTGGAACCCTGTTTTACCACATATAGAACACCTCAGGCTGGAACCCTGTTCTACCACATATAGAACACCTCAGGCTGGAACCCTGTTTTACCACATATAGAACACCTCAGGCTGGAACCCTGTTTTACCACATATAGAACACCTCAGGCTGGAACCCTGTTTTACCACATATAGAACACCTCAGGCTGGAACCCTGTTTTACCACATATAGAACACCTCAGGCTGGAACCCTGTTTTACCACATATAGAACACCTCAGACCTCAGGCTGGAACCCTGTTTTACCACATATAGAACACCTCAGGCTGGAACCCTGTTTTACCACATATAGAACACCTCAGGCTGGAACCCTGTTTTACCACATATAGAACACCTCAGACCTCAGGCTGGAACCCTGTTTTACCACATATAGAACACCTCAGGCTGGAACCCTGTTTTACCACATATAGAACACCTCAGGCTGGAACCCTGTTTTACCACATATAGAACACCTCAGGCTGGAACCCTGTTTTTACCACATATAGAACACCTCAGGCTGGAACCCTGTTTTACCACATATAGAACACCTCAGGCTGGAACCCTGTTTTACCACATATAGAACACCTCAGGCTGGAACCCTGTTTTACCACATATAGAACACCTCAGGCTGGAACCCTGTTTTACCACATATAGAACACCTCAGGCTGGAACCCTGTTTTTACCACATATAGAACACCTCAGGCTGGAACCCTGTTTTACCACATATAGAACACCTCAGACCTCAGGCTGGAACCCTGTTTTACCACATATAGAACACCTCAGGCTGGAACCCTGTTTTACCACATATAGAACACCTCAGGCTGGAACCCTGTTTTACCACATATAGAACACCTCAGGCTGGAACCCTGTTTTACCACATATAGAACACCTCAGACCTCAGGCTGGAACCCTGTTTTACCACATATAGAACACCTCAGGCTGGAACCCTGTTTTATCACATATAGAACACCTCAGACCTCAGGCTGGAACCCTGTTTTACCACATATAGAACACCTCAGGCTGGAACCCTGTTTTACCACATATAGAACACCTCAGGCTGGAACCCTGTTTTACCACATATAGAACACCTCAGGCTGGAACCCTGTTTTACCACATATAGAACACCTCAGGCTGGAACCCTGTTTTATCACATATAGAACACCTCAGGCTGGAACCCTGTTTTACCACATATAGAACACCTCAGACCTCAGGCTGGAACCCTGTTTTACCACATATAGAACACCTCAGGCTGGAACCCTGTTTTACCACATATAGAACACCTCAGGCTGGAACCCTGTTTTACCACATATAGAACACCTCAGGCTGGAACCCTGTTTTACCACATATAGAACACCTCAGGCTGGAACCCTGTTTTACCACATATAGAACACCTCAGGCTGGAACCCTGTTTTACCACATATAGAACACCTCAGGCTGGAACCCTGTTTTACCACATATAGAACACCTCAGGCTGGAACCCTGTTTTATCACATATAGAACACCTCAGGCTGGAACCCTGTTTTACCACATATAGAACACCTCAGGCTGGAACCCTGTTTTATTATTCAGAATATAATGGCAACACATGCTCAGTGTTTTGAACTATTAGTTTATTTTATTTATTTAGCACTACTAAAAGAACCAAATGCTGCTTTAATGTTTGTCAGGACGTAAAAATAAAAGCGGTCCAAGAATCAATCTCTGTGGAACGCCACATTTTATGAATATAATCAAATCTATCCGGAGTAAACGTTAACCCTGAATTACCATGCATATAACACCTGAGCTTTCTGTGTCCCTGGTTATCACTGACATGCTCCTCCTATTCCTAACTCCCAGGTGCCCCGGCGCTGACCTCCAGACAGTTCAAGGAGACAGACTTTGTCAAGGTGGTGGAGTTTATGGATGAAGGCTTCAAGATCGCCCTGGACGTCAAGAAGAAGACTGGTGAGTTAATCTCTTTTACCAGCTGTGTGTACTTAATCAGTTAACCTAATCAGTCAAGCCTTTTCTGCATCCCAAATGCCAACCCATTACCTTCATTGCACACTACTTTTGACCAGAGCCCTATTCGCCCTGGTGCCATTTGGGACGGGCCTAAGTCTGTGTGTTTGTACATTCTGATGGTGTCCATGATGCCGGAAACTTTGTTTTAAATCTAAAGTCAGGTTTTTTTCTTATCACAGTTCCTCCATCTCCTGTAGTGATCTGGAAGAAGTGCCAGTTAAATTCATTAGCTAACCCAAAGAGTGACTCAGTCAAGAAAATGTAAGCCATTGGCGTTAAAATACAGGAAGTGACACAAAAGCTGAAAACATCTACTGTCTTCTCTCCAGGGAAACTTGCAGACTTTAAGAACTTCTTGTTGGAGGATCCAGAGACAGTGGCCCGCATGGCAGAGCTGAGGAAACGAGTGGAGGCCTTCGCACGGCCCTTCCCCATGCCCGGCTTCGAGGATCACTAGACCCTCCACACACAGAGAGAGAGAAGCAGCTCTGTTCCAATATCCAACACAAGCATACTACTTAGAATGAAGCAGCAATGTATTTGGATGTGAGTTTTAAGTGGTAGGCTATTATGGACATTGGAACTTGGTGGTGGTCAGTGATTGGAGTCAGACTCGGCGGAACCTCGCAGACTTATCCAAACAGATGGGAGACCTTGGTTAATCCTTTGATGTCATCTGTTGACCTCTGACCTAACGTGAGGGTAATTCTGTAGCTTGTAATCCCTTTTGGACGTTTCTACTCTGTATGTTTACACACAAAAAAAATCATTATTTTCCAAGTGTTATTTTCTGCATGTTTTAACATTGTAGTGTAGAAGAAAGAGCTCAACGTCACCCCTGAGAGAAATCAGTCATCTAATCTTAAACTCCCCTGTGACATTGGCTGTCACCGCAAAGGGTAGTGACTTGGATAACATTTATTTGAAGCACAAAGTCTTAAGCTGTAAATTTAACACATTGTCTTAACTTGGTGGCTAGATGTTCATGATTTGAGATTTGATAATACACGTCTGTCGTACTACCCTATACTGTTGTAAATGTGTGTGTAACCAACTCCATTCAAATTCATCTGAAGCAGACCTGGGCCCCAAATCCTATTTTAAAATCGTTCAAATATTTTGCGTCTTTGCTCTAGCCTGCCTACAGCGCCAGATAGGGTTTGCAGTTTTGTGACGGTTCTATTGTTCCATGACGTAAGGCAAGATTAATCAAGCACAGATAAAGTATATAATAATATATTTTTTCATTGAACCCAAGTCAGATCTGAAGTCAAGGGGTCCGACGCCAGAGGTCGGGGTTGACTGGTGAACTCTATAACAGGACAGTTCCCCTGTTGTTAAACCGTCTACGTATATCAGACCAGAGCCTCACTATCCTTCTACATCGGTGGTCACCGAGTCAAGATCACTTTCTCAGTCAAAAAGCAAGCCAAGATCTACTGCTCAGATTGCTTTTTAAAACTTGACTTAAAAAATATAACATTAACCTAAAAAAGAATTTGCTTTTTTATTTTACTGGACTGATGGTACCTGCATCTGATGGTCATGATGCTTTCAAGACAACTGAGAACTCTAAAAAAAACTAGGTCAAATCATGACGTCAGTGAACTTCAGATCGGAAAGTCGGAGCTCTAAGAAGATGCCCAAAGTTTCCAAGTTGGATGACCGTTCAAAAAGATTTTTCCCAGTCGGATCTCGTTTTTTTCCCCAGCTGTCTTGAACGCACTGAAGTTGGAGATTTCCAAGTTCCCAGTTGTTTTGAACACAGCATTATTCTCAGCGGAGGGAGGGAGAGAGCAGCAGAGGGTCCACCTCTCATGGTCCCTGCTCTCTCCTTCCTTTCCTCCGGTGAGACTGACCAGAGAGAGGGGGCACCGTCTTCCACATGATGGCCAAACTCGACCCGCACCGCATCTGCATCAGGCACAAATTTATGTTGTTCCTATGACCAGAGAAAGTGAAATACTCCTCAATTTATTAAAACGGACTCGATGAGCTTCTATTAATAATAAAAACGCAGGGCTATCGATACACTTGACTACTCATTCATTGCAGCTGCAGCGCGAGAGGAAGTAGAGAGAAGCGGGTTTTGTGTTTTTTTGTAATAGTGTTGAATAGACCTTAGACATGAACTCACTCATAAAAACAGCAGCTCTTTGCTGTATTCTTTGACAGTCTCTCTCTGGTCATGGTTTTAGAAGTAGGCTAGTATCACACTTTGCTGTGGCCAGGGTCATGGAAGGTGTTGGTAGACACAGTAATTTGAGTTATCCAATTTGCCAGCGCAGTAGGCACACTAGATTTAGTCACAGGTCTGCCGGGTAGGCGGAGTTTGTATTTTCAGACAAATGAAATGGTTCAAACTGGGAACACTTTGTCTACCCGGTGAGCAGGGCTTCTGAATCAAGTGCACCTACCACCATCAGGGCTTCTGAATCAAGTGAACCTACCACCATCAGGGCTTCTGAATCAAATGCACCTACCACCATCAGGGCTTCTGAATCAAGTGCACCTACCACCATCAGGGCTTCTGAATCAAGTGCACCTACCACCATCAGGGCTTCTGAATCAAGTGCACCTACCACCATCAGGGCTTCTGAATCAAGTGCACCTACCACCATCAGGGCTTCTGAATCAAGTGCACCTACCACCATCAGGGCTTCTGAATCAAGTGCACCTACCACCATCAGGGCTTCTGAATCAAGTGCACCTACCACCATCAGGGCTTCTGAATCAAATGCACCTACCACCATCAGGGCTTCTGAATCAAGTGCATCTACCACCATCAGGGCTTCTGAATCAAGTGCACCTACCACCATCAGGGCTTCTGAATCAAATGCACCTACCACCATCAGGGCTTCTGAATCAAATGCACCTACCACCATCAGGGCTTCTGAATCAAGTGCATCTACCACCATCAGGGCTTCTGAATCAAGTGCACCTACCACCATCAGGGCTTCTGAATCAAATGCACCTACCACCATCAGGGCTTCTGAATCAAATGCACCTACCACCATCAGGGCTTCTGAATCAAATGCACCTACCACCATCAGGGCTTCTGAATCAAATGCACCTACCACCATCAGGGCTACACAAATAAAAAAAAGGTAATGCCTTTTAAGATCGCGATCAATCGGTTGGTGACCACTGTTCTACAGAGATCAGACCAGAGCTTCACTATCCTTCTACAGAGATCAGACCAGAGCTTCACTATCCTTCTACAGAGATCAGACCAGAGCTTCACTATCCATCTACAGAGATCAGACCAGAGCTTCACTATCCTTCTACAGATATCAGACCAGAGCATCACTATCCTTCTACAGATATCAGACCAGAGCTTCACTATCCATCTACAGATATCAGACCAGAGCTTCACTATGTATGGACCCTTTTCACACTATCATGCCAACCCCAACCAAACTGCTGGCTCTGATGGCTTTTCACACTGTCCTTTCCAGCATGGTTCTAACTGTGGTGGATGTGTAACCAGGTCAGCTCAATACAACTCGATTTGGCTCAGTAGTGTATGATCCAACAACCTGCTGCATATATTGCGTAAAAGACTAATGGTCCATAATGACAATACATTAAATAGTCAGCCATTTCATGCCAGTGCTGGCTTTCAAAGTGTTAACGAAGAAGAAATGGTTTTGTATGTATTGTAACTTTACAGAATTAAAGAATTCTTTACTTTCTAACACTGGTTAAAAAAAATATCTGAAGGTTTTTAATGCTTATATTGCTGCTTTTGGGGAGGAAGTATTTGATAAAAAAAAAAAAAATATATATATATATATATATATATATATATATATATATATATATATATATATATATATATATATATATATATATATATATGATATTACTACAAAAATGTGCTTGTTAATTTAGCTGAGGTCACCCTATGTAGAGACTACAGTGTGAGGGAATGGTTTGAGTTCGGTTTATTTCATAGTATTATTTTTGTTGTTGGCTGATTTCTCAAATTGCTTCACAAAATTGAGGGGGTGTTATCACTGCATCAGTGAACCAGTGAGAATTCCTCCATTTGAGGAGTAGAGTGGACGGTCTGTACAGAACCACTCCGATCAGAACAGGGAGGGATAGCACATCAATATTAATAATGAAGAGACGGGTTGACTTACACTGACTTCACAGTGAACAGTAACTACCAGGGGCTGTATGTACCTGTGTCAAACATCTCCGAGTAGAAGTGCTGATCTAGGATCGGGTCCACCCTGTCTATGAAATCTTATTCATTGTAATCTAAAAGGCTAAACTGATCCCAGATCGGCACTACTACTCCGAGACCATTTTATGAATATGGGCCCAGACATACCTAAAATAAGATCCAAATCATTATCTGGCTCTGGGGCCTGTACCTGTCATTTCCAGACCTATGTGACAACCTGCTATTTAATGGCACTACCTTAAACCCCTTTCTGATGATCTTTCCAGGATGCTGATGTTACCTAAACTAATGTTTTAATGTCTGCACAGTAAAAAAAAAAAAAAAAAAAGTCAATACATTTTAGAGATTAAAGCTTAATCCTAATAAATATATGCACTAATTAATGTCTGGACTGTAACATGTTATTTGTCTTCTCTGAATAACTGTAAACAAGTCTTGTGTGGTGTGTGTGCAGCTCTCGTGTTCAAACCCTTTCCAGAATATACACATTGTCTAGAATGATGGCTGCAGCAGGTTGCAGTCTACTTTAACACTACGTGGTGAACTCACTGAAGCCTTACTAAGTGGTACGGTCTGTCACTCAGTAGCAGCTTGTGTAGAACAGCAACATTACTGACACAGCCCCTCGTCTCCTGTCCTCTCCTCTCCTCACCACTCCTCTCTGCTGACTTGACAATGAATCATCAGTGTTTAATGAGGGGGGGGGGTGACAGCGACAGCGTCGCCAATTAATTGGATTCATGTATTTAGAGCAGCGTTGTCATAATTAAACGTTGCGGAAAATGAGACGGCATTAACGTCAGGGAGAGCGAGGATGGAACGACAACTGCCTGCCCGCCTGTGAATCGCTCGCCCGGGTTTAATGGCATTTGAAATCATATTTAAACACAACCCTACGCTAATGTACAGTAATTATCTCAATAAAACTGTAGTGGTGTGTTCGTTACTGGCGTAATAGCCGTCTGTCGCCGCCAGTCTAGTGTGTCTGTGTGTGGATGGATCACACACTGGGGAGAGTAAGGAAATATTCAGCTCATCAATTCGCAAGTTTACAGCCCCAGCTGAGAGAGAGGTGCCGAAGTGCAGCAGGCATATCTCACACAACTGGCAGAGGTGTGTGTGAGAGAGAGAGAGAGCCACATCTCCACACACAATCTCGGTAAACAGATTTTCACATCCAACATCTGGTTGCAACCAACAACTCCTTCAAACCGTTTTCACCTCGTCTCTCACGAAACACCCCTCCTGCCTGCCACCCGCCTCCCTGCGATGTGAAGGGATACTGTAAAAGTGCCATGGCAGCAGAAATCTTCGTCCTGTTTTTCTCACTGTGATCTATTCAGATCCATCCAGTGACTCAACATGCTTGTGGCATGTTTAGGGAGCAATGCACAGGAGAACAATTTATATATATATATATATATATATATATATATATATATATATATATACACAGTTGAAGTCGGAAGTTTACATACACCTTAGCCAAATACATTTAAACTCAGTTTTTCACAATTCCTGACATTTAATCCTAGTAAAAATTCCCTGTCTTAGGTCAGTTAGAATCACCACTTTATTTTAAGAATGTGAAATGTCAGAATAATAGTAGAGAAAATGATTTATTTAAGCTTTTATTTATTTCATCACATTCCCAGTGGGTCAGAAGTTTACATACACTCAATTAGTATTTGGTAGCATTGCCTTTAAATTGTTTAACTTGGGTCAAATGTTTCGGGTAGCCTTCCACAAGCTTCCCACAATAAGTTGGGTGAATTTTAGCCCATTCCTCCTGACAGAGCTGGTGTAACTGAGTCAGGTTTGTAGGCCTCCTTGCTCACACACGCTTTTTCAGTTCTGCCCACAAATTTTCTATAGGATTGAGGTCAGGGCTTATTGATGGCCACTCCAATACCTTGACTTTGTTGTCCTTAAGCCATTTTGCCACAACTTTGGAAGTATGCTTGGGGTCATTGTCCATTTGGAAGACCCATTTGCGACCAAGCTTTAACTTACTGACTGAAGTCTTGAGATGTTGCTTCAATATATCAACATAATTTTCCTTCATCATGATGCCATCTATTTTGTGAAGTGCACCAGTCCCTCATGCAGCAAAGCACCCCCACAGCATGATGCTGCCGCTCCTGTCCTTCACGGTTGGGATGGTGTTCTTCAGCTTGCAAGTAGCCCCC